GGGGGTTGGGTAATGTCCAGATACAGAAATCTACCATCATTTCATATTTTTATATATTAAAAAGGTGTTCTATTGATATTTTAATTGGTGTTTAAAATACTGAGCACCAAACTGAACTATTGGATGGATTGCATTACGTAACATGGTCCTGACACGGTCCATTGACTTTAAGAGTAAAACTAATATCCTCTCACCTGAACAGAACACACCAGCGTCCTCAGAGTGTCCACAGTTATGAGTCCCAAATCCTGGATGGGTACACTCAGTCACAGAACTTTCACTCCCTGAACAGCTGACATCATCAAGCCAGATTTGTCCGGTCCCCTCACCATAGTGGGTTGATTGAGGGGCGCTCACTGCTGAACCACAGCGCAACTGTCTGCACACGACCTGAGCATCGTTTAGATCCCAGCTATCATCACACACTGTTCCCCAGGTGCTGTTGTGGAAGATCTCAACTCTTCCAGAGCAGTGATTGGACCCAGAGCCAGCCAATCTGATCTGACCATCTATAGGACACAGAAAACATGATGTAAGAAATATGTTAGGGTAAACTTAAGACCAAAAGGATGTATGCATCAGACCAGAAAGTTGACTGACCTGCAGCAACTGAAGAGGTCAAGAGAAAAGAGACTATAAAGAGAAGAGAAGAAACAGATTACTTTCAGCAGGATAGAAAGTGCAGAAACCAAAGTTATACTTGTTCCTGTTTTAGATTCCTTTGGACTGAGAACTGAACAATTAGTTTTAAGAGTTGGCCTGTCTATGACAAACAATAAATCTGCTATGCATGCAAAGGAAATTGAATATTATATAGATCTTACCAATGACCAAACGGTGCAGGTTTCTCTGCTGTTCGCTCCCCATGGCTGACTCTAAGACATCTCTCAGTGAGGGAACAGGCAGAAGGACACTTCACTTAAAACACTGTTAGAAGACCTCCTCCTTTTGGCACATTTACTTATACAGTGATTATCCCATTCACTGAAGAAAATTAGAGGAACAGAAACGTCAGCATTTCTGGTAAAGACATAACCACATTGTTCCTTCTCTCCGCTGAGAACCAACAACAGTTCCTGTTTTCATAAAACCAACTCATCATTACCAAAGACTTCAGCCCTGCATGGGCATAGGCCACAACAGATACAACATCTTTAAATTCACTATTAAAGGGTTTTGGCTGGGCGATTCTGTGTTCTACATTTCAAAAAGGTAGAGGATAACTTTCAGTTCTCCACTAACAGACCACAAAAGTGAAATAAATATCCTGACCTTTCTGTCCAGATGCCGTTCCAACTTCCTGCGGCAAGGTCCTGTCTCCATTTGGGGTACCACCAAGTCCTTAGTCCACAAAAAGGGGTACCGACCAGACCGTCATTTTCCTGACAAGTCTTGTCCTCCAAACAGGAACCAGAGGTGTCCTTCCAAGACCCTGGTCCTCGATAAGGGTACAGATCTTCTTCTTCCAAAATGGTAGCAACAACAATTTCATCCTCAAGAGGGTAACCACCAACTCTTTCAACTTCCTGACAAGACCCACGTCCTTCAGAGGATTATTCCCCAGTCCATGACCTCAAGAGGGGTCCCGCCAACTCCTTCACCCTCCCGAGGGGAACCGACTAGACCTTCATTTTCCAGAAGGGTCCTAACAAATCCTCAAGAGGGGTACGGCCAAATCCTTCATCCTCAAGAGGGGTACGGCCAAATCCTACATCCTCAAGAGGGGTACAGCCAAATCCTTCATCCTCAAGAGGGGTACGGCCAAATCCTTCGTCCTCAAGAGGGGTACGGCCAAATCCTTTGTCGTGTGACCGAACTAAAATGGTCGCAGCATCCTGGCGAATCGCTCCTAGAGCAGACGACTCCCAATCACTTCTATCTGAGTTGTTGTGAAATACGACCGAGCTCGGTCGCTGATACACTCTGTTGTTTGTAATATGTTGTGTGTGTTTCCTACTGTTAACCCTCGAAGGACGGGATTGTCAGGGGGGCTGGACACACACACACACACCACACACACACTCACACCACCCACACACACAGCACACACTAGCACAACACCACAACACACACAGCCTACTCAACACTCTACACACTTTTTGTGCATGTGTGTGTATCCCTCCACTCCCACGCAGTCTCGCTCCGATCGACAGCCATGTGTAGTACAACCGTGACCAACTCACCAAAACATACATCTTTGAGAGAGAAAGGATGGTACAGTTGCAATGTAGATTAGTGGGTGTATGTGTGTCGTGGGGGAGAACAGATACAGTGCTCCTAGACGTGTGTAACAAAATTGTGGGAGTTCTACCCCAGTCGGTTTAGGGAAGTAGTGAGTTCTCCCCATTCGGTTTAGATGTAGGAGTTCTCCCCATGTCGGTTTAGGAAGTAGGGAGTTCTCCCCATGCCGGTTTGTAGGAAACAGGAGTTCTCCCCATGCCGGTTTAGGAAGTAGGAGTTCTCCCCCATGCCGGTTTAGGAAAAGAGTTCTCCCCATGCCGGTTTCAGGAATCAGGTTTCTCCCCATGCCGGTTTTAGAAACAGCGAGTTCTCCCATGCCGGTTTTAAGAAGTAGGAGTCTTCCCCATTGCCGGTTTAAGAAGTAGGAGCTTCTCCCATCGCCGGTTTAGGAAGCAGGAGGTTCGCTCCCCATTGCCCGGTTTAAGGAAGTAGGAGTTCTCCCATGCCGGTTCAGACAACAGAGTTCTCCCCATGCCGGGTTTAGGAAACAGGAGGTTCTCCCCATTGTTTAGGAAACAGGAGTTCTTCCCCATGCCGGTTTAACAAGTAGGAGTTCTCCCCATGCCGGTTTAAGGAAGTCGAGGGCAGTTCTTCCCAATGCCGGTTTAGGAAACAGGAGTGTCTCCCCATGCCGTTAGAAAGGTAGGAGTTCTCCCCATGCGCGGTTTAGGAAACAGGAGTTCTCTCATGCCGGTTAGGACAGGTAAGGAGTTCTCCCCATGGGCGGTTTAGTGAAACAGGACGGTTCTCCCATCGGCCGCGTTTAGGAAGTAGGAGCTTCTCCCTTTCTTCTGTGGGTTGTAGGAAGTGGAGGGTTCTCCCCATGCCCGCGTTTTGAGGATGTAGGGACGTTCTCCCCATGGCGGTTTAGCGAAGTACGGAGTTTCTCCCCATGCCGGGGTTTAGGGATGTACGGAGCTTCTCCCCATGGTCGGGGTTTAGCGGAAGTATTGGGACGTTCCTCCGGTGCTCCGCAATGCGCTCGGTTTAGGAAACAGGTGGAGTTCTCCCCCATAGTACCGGTTTAGGAAAACACAGCTCTCCAGAGATGCCCCGGTTTAGCGAAGTAAGAAGAGTTCTCAGCCCCATTGCCGGTTTTAGGAAAGACGCACGAGGAGTTCTCCCTCCTCGCTCCGATTCGGCTCGGTTTGTACGTGATAGGGTAGGTGGTTGCTGGTGTGTGTGTGTGTGTGTGCTGTGTGTGTGTGTGTGTGTGTGGTGTGTGTGTGTTGTTTTTTTGTGTGAATAAGGAGTTCTCCTCCGTTATAAGTAGGAGTTCTCCCCATGCCGGTTTAGGATCGTAGCGAGTTCTCCCCATGTCGGGTTTAGGAAGTACGGAGGTTCCCGCTCGTCCTATCGCCGCGGTTTTAGGGAAACAAGCAGTTCTTCCCCATGCCGGTTTAGGAAGACAGAGGTGGTGTTTGTGTTTGTCGTTGTGTGTGTCTGTGTGTGTGCTGTGTGTTGCGCCCCCGTACTCCCGAAGTTGGTCGCGACTTGTGTTTGTACTTGTGCAGTGTGTGTGGTGTGTGTGTGTGTGTGTGTGTGTGTGTGTCGTGTGTGCTGTGTGTGTGTGTTGTGTGTGTTGTGTGTGGTGTGTGTGTGTGTGTGTGGTGTGTGTGTGTAGTGTTGTGTGTGTCGTGTGTGTGTGTGTGTGTCTAGTGTGTGTTGTGTGTGTGTGTCGTGTGTGTGTGTGTGTGTGTGTTAGTGTAGTGGTGTTGTGTGTGTGTGTGTGTGTGTGTGTGTGTGTGTGTGTGTGTGTGTGTGTGTGTGTGTGTGTGTGTGTGAAGTGTACAGAAGACAAAAGCCAAGGCGACGAGTGTGTACTTGGAGACCACTGGAAATACGGAGGACACACACACGTCGATGTCTGTCTCTTGGTGCAACGGTTTTGGAAGTCTGGAGAAGATGTCACATTAGGAGGTCTGTACACGACACAAGCCACCTTACACACACACACGACACACACACACACACACACACAACACACCAGCAAACGAGTCGCGGCGAGCGAGCGAGCCACCAACACACACCACACCACACACACAAACACACACACACACACACACACACCACACCACACACACACACACACCACACCACAGCTGCGCGGATACCACGGCGACAGCGCCACCACATCAGCACAGCCGACCACCACACACACACACACACACTCGTAGAGGGGGGGAGTGTGTCGTCGAGAAATAAAAAGAGTAGGACGGAGAAAAGTGCGAGTACAGGACTTTTGGTCCTCTCTCTCTTTGAGGGAGACCTCCTAACATCGGAGACGTGCGGTAACTGAGGCGCGGCGGTGATTGTGGATGTCGTTGTGGTCTCGCAGGGAGACTCTTCTTGTCGTCCACCGTGCCTTTCATAACCGGTAAGTTTTAAGAGTTTAATCATATCTCAATATGGTCGATATTATCGTAGTTGTATCAATTTCTTGGTTCATTTTCATCTTCATGAGTCTAGAACAAGAACTCATTTTCGATCTTCGATGAGTCTAGAAAAGACTCAGTTCATCTTCATGAGTCTAGAACATGAACTCAGTTCATCTTTCATGAGTCTCACATCCTTATGAGACAATGTCATTCTTCATCAGTAAACCACGTCTACCAGGTTAAAGTCTTATTATATACTATACAAAACATTACTAGGTCTTTCACAAGAGTTCGGGACCATTCTCCACCGTCGGATCAAACTTACACATGACGACGAACCTATACGACTTGGGATAGAATATATAATAAATAGTCACCTGAGTATAGACATAACTCATTTTATTAGACTTTTTTGACAGTCTATTTACTTCACCTCATCTTCATATTTCATCGGCATGGTCTCTTATGAGTCTCACATATGTTTATGACATTCATGTGCATGAAATCATTTTACATTACAAGGAGACAGTGACGTCAGCCAACACAAGTAGGTCGTGAGTCCAATGTGTAACTTGGGTCTTTATTGAGGAGACCTGACTTCGACACAAAGGACGGAGCAAGGTTATCCTCCTCTGCCTAGAGGAAATAGTTTCGACACGGACACCACTGGAGATCACGGCGGGTGACACATGGACGTTGTCAAGTCGCATTTCCATAAGTCTACTATGATGTCACATGTTTATGGGGGTCGGCGAGTCAATGTTTCATTTCCAACGTTTTAACATTAAATTCATGCTTCATCAGTAAGAGTCTAAACCAAGGTAATTTGTTGACTGAAATAAAATTAATAACTCACGTAATTAAACCATTACAAAGTAGTGAAGTTCAACATGAACCACTTCGACCCCCAATAAACTTATGAAGTAATCATAGCCCCCCGAATCGGAATTTATTATATACTATACACATCCAATTATAAAACATTTATTATAGTATGTAGACGTTGCTTCGACAGTCTACATCGTAAAGTATAAAACAATAATTTAACATCACCTATCTTCATATTTCATCGTACTTTACTTTATGGGTAGGATTCACAACTCTTCGTCACATCGTCATCATCATCAGCACCACGGAACGAGTCCCTGTGGAGCCATTCGTGAACCAGAAAGGCCCTGAACTTGACACTGGAAGTCAATCGGTCGGTTCCAGGGATACCTGAAACGGTTGGTGGGCGGACTTTCTGGAAAGTGTTCTGTAAGAAGGGACTTTACAGAAC